TGACCCCCACTGTGCCCCCCACCCTGCCCCACACTGTGCCCCACACTGTGCCCCACACTGCCCCACACTGTGCCCCACACTGTACCCCACACTGTACCCCACACTGTACTCCACACTGTGCCCCATACTGCCCCACACTGTGCCCCACACTTCCCCACACTGTGCCCCACACTGCCCCACACTGTACCCCACACTGTACCCCACACTGCCCCACGCTGTGCCCCACGCTGTACCCCACGCTGTGCCCCACACTGCCCCATGCTGTGCCCCACACTATACCCCACCCTGTACCCCACACTGCAGGCTGTCTAGCACCCTTAGTTCCAGTTACGGTGGCGAGGGAAGAGCATCTCACAGGTTCCAGAGCGCCCCTTGGGGAGGGCGGGCAGCACCGCCTGGGCAACAGCTGTGACCTAGGTCCATGAGCTGTGCGGTCCCTCAGTCACGGCGGTTCCTCGAGCCATCGCTGGTACTGCGATGAGCTCTCAAATCCCTCTCCCTCTTAGCTGCTCTCCAAGGCACACGGAAGACCGCATGTGCTGGAAATTCCAGGGCCCTGCGCCAGAGGGGCCGGGTTCCCCGAAACCAGACTCCTCGGTCTCAGGAGCCTTACACCTCGCTGCACTTCAGAGGAGGCCACATGTCGGGGCTCAGATGAGGAAGGACCTCTTCACTGAGCAGGGAGGGGCTGCAGCTCCTGCGTCAGTTCAGAGGCATGCTGACCCTAAGAGCCTCCCGGCAGAGCAACGGGATGCCGAACAGCCTTCCACTCGGAACTGCATATTTAACGGATAGGCTTTCCAGGCTCTAGTGGAGAGGCTCTCCCCAAGTGCACGGGCATGCTAGCTAGGCTCTTAGCAAAGAGGTTCTTAGAACACCAATGCATTAGAAGTGACGGGAAACCTGGTTCAACTTTTAGGGCTCTCCGAAGGAAAGACTGATTTTCACAGATCCACTTCCAGTCTCTACAGACTATCATCTTAAAAGGGACAAACTTTTTTGCCAGAAAGACAGAGATGGAGAGACAGAAAGTGAGAAATCACCCCCTGGGGAGACAATCTCTTCTCCTCCACTCTCCTCTCAGAATCTTGGGCACGCACACGTGCTCAGCATGAGTTTGAGCCACCGGATCCGGGACTCGAACCACGGTCAACTACATGGGAGTCCACTATTGTAGCCATTACATCATCTGCTGGTCCCAAAAGGGTCAAAGTTTTATTTTATTTTTAGGTTGTTGCCTTTGGGTACATGCACTTGCTAGAGGGAAACAGAGACAGAGAGAGGGCAAGTGAGAAGTCACCCCCCCAGAGGGGATGGCCACACCACAGTTCCTTCTCCTCCATTTTCCTCTTGGGATGGTGGGCATGCATACACTTGCACCTGGTGCAATGTTAAAGCCACCAAGTCTGGGATTCAAACCATGGAAGGCCGTGTAGGAGTCCAGCACCGCCATCACCACAATCACCTGCTGAGCGAAGGGACAAACATTTTAAGAAAGACAAAGGTTCTCGTATAGCCAAATGAAGCCATCGTACATGTGCGATATCTTGTGCCCTGCAGAGCACTTTTCCTGCTTTGCATTCTCCCAACAACCCCATGAAGATAAAGGTGCAAGAATCACCATCCCCACTTTACTAAAAAGATGGATATAAAACCATGTGGTTACATGTGGGGAGGAAAAAGCAGTGAGTTCTAATGCTGGTCAGAAAAAGTCTAGAACAACTCTCACATGGAGGGGGAGAAGCCTAAAGGATTTTTAGCTGAGAGTGAGTTGTGGCCACCAAAAATCTCAGTGGGTTCTCGGTGTGAGTTAACAGAAGTAAATAGAATTAGAGTGAATTAATAGAAGCAGGAGGTAGAGGTCCAGGAGAAGGAAGGTCGCGGCCCTGCTCTACGTGCTGGGAATGCTTCCTCCCGGGGAGGAGGGCCTTGGCTGGAGGGCCTGGACGCAGGAGGGAGCAGAGGAAGGAGCCTCAGCAGGGCCTTACTGGCAGAGGGGACATCTGAAAGGGGCATGGCCTCCGTTTGCAGATCTCTGAACTGTTACCGCGGGGAGGGGGAGTTCACTTTTTGTGTGCACCCAGAGAACAGAACTAGAACGTGTGGATTCTTACAACAAAGATTTGAACTCAGTAAAAGGAAGCGTTTTGTGATGAGCATTCTGTTGAAAGGCGGAATGTGTCGCATTGTGAGCCCAGGAGACCAGCTAGCCAGGCAGCGCGATTCTGGGAAGGACGGTCTGTCATTGGGTGCCATATCTCAGAAGTCTGTCGACCTTCGGTTCTGTGGGGTTTAGATCCAGGTGAATATAGGGGTCAGGAAGGTAGTTCACGGTCCAGCTTCCTTCCTTTTAAAGGACTCTTGATTATCTTTACCCAGAGGCCTCAGAAACATGTAAGACAACATTTGGAGTCGCAAGACCTTCCTTTAAAAGAATGGGAAAGGAACTGCGACTTACTCCTACATTCCTCAAGATAAAACACACATGCACACGTTGTAATCATGGGCCCTTGTGTAAGAAGTACAACATTTTAAAATAAGTTTATCCTTCAGCAGGTGTCCAGGCAGTCCTGCCAAAGCTTGGAGATTCCTTCCTTCCTTCCTTTCTGTTTTTGTCATAGGCGTGTGTGCTTGCCAGAGAGACAGAGAGAAGGAAATTAAGAAATCATCCCCCCGGGGGTGCTGGCCACACTGCAATCCCTTCTCCTTCATTCTCTTCTTGGGATCTTGCCCATGCACAAACACATGCCTGGTGTAAGTTTCACATCACCAGGTCTGGAACTCGGACCACAGTCAACCATGTAGGAGTCCAGCATCTTAACCATCATGCCACCTGCTGGCCCGAGATTTATTTTTTAAATAAAGCTAATGAGATATACTGAAAATAAAAGATTGGAAAAAGATAAACCTTATAATCACTAACCAAAAAAAAAAAACTGATGTGACTATATTAATATCAGATAAAACAGGCTTTAAGAGAGTAATGAATACTAAAGCTGATGATAAAAGGGGCAGTTGAAAAGAAAGTCATAACAACCCTAAATTTGTATGCATTTAATAATGTATCTTCAAAGGTCAGCAGATGGCATTATGGTTACATCACTGGACTCCCACATAGCCAACCATAGTTCAAGTCCCAGACCCGGCAGCTTGAAACTCATGCTGGGTGTGTGCGTGTGCATGCCCAAGATCCTGAGAGGAAAATGGAGACGAGATTGTGACATGGTCATCCCCCATTGGAGGTGATTTCTTGCTTTCTGATTTCTGTTTCTCTCTCTCCCTCTCTCTCTGTCTCTCTGGCAAGTGCACACGCCATATATATGTATGTATGTGTGTGTGTGTATAGTATACATGTGTGTGTATATAGATATATCTATACATACACACACACATATGCCTTCAAAATATGTAAAACCAAAATGGACAAATCTAAAGAAAGAAATACACAAACAGAAGCATAGCTGGAAACTCCAACGTCAATGAGTAGCAGACTGAGCAAGCAGGTAGAAAGAAGTAAAGGTGTAGAAAATTCGGCTAACAGTATTAGG